ATGTCTTTTGTGGAGGATAACATAAAGGCTTTCCTATATTCATATGGGTGTAATGATAATAACTAGCATTTATACAGCACTTTAAGTTTGTAAAGTGCTTTACAAATATCTCATTTTATCTTTATAACAACTCTGGGAGACAGGTGTTTTTATTATCTCCATTGTACTGATGAGGGAACTGAGGAAAACAAAAATTAAGCAACTTACTTAGAACCATACAGCTAGTAAATTATGAGGATGGATTTGAATTAAAGTCTTCCTGATGTCAGGTCCAGCTCTATCCACTGTACTACCTAGCTGCCTATGTATAATAAATAGAAAACTAGTTTCAAAGCCAAGAAGACTTGGATTCAGGTTCTTCCTCTGGGGTCCTTTACCTTTCATGTAGAAATCTACATGATTCTGAAATTCCCAGAAGTCCCCCCAAGACTGAACCTGGTATAAGTAAAACTAGGGCCTGTTTTGGGACACAAGTTATGCAAATACAGTGAATTTTCTACTCTACTGCCTGTCTTTGTAAGATAAATAAGGTACCCTGCTCTTAAGAAGCTTATAATCCAAAAGATACTATGTATACCTATTTCAGGATAAATAACTTTCACTTGATGGTAAATAGGAGGTAAGAGATATCTATTTTAGTCCCTTCTCTAATATTATCAATACTATCAACATTATTGTTATTAATACTGTTATTGTTGATGATACTATTATTGTCACTGTCAAATGTTTTAGTGTGGTGGTCATCCAAAACCTGGTATATAACCTAAATTCTTTAATGATGAATGAAGAAATTTATGTATTACCTTAACAAAAAATAAAATCCCACAAATCTAAGAATTTTAATGACCTTCTACTAAGTTGTATTTCAATGACTCATTATGCTAAGGAGATGACTGACCCTAGATTCTTGAAGGCTTGGCCAGCAGTGACTGCTCTGGCATGTACTACCAACCAGTAAAGTTTTTGAATATGGGCCCAGGGCTGGACCACACATCTGAGGCGCACCCTAGCTAAGAGCAGAAAGGTTCATCACCATAAGATTGGCACCAAGGGATGCATTTTGAAAGGTTCATCACCAGAACACTGGCACTAAAGGATGCATTTTTTGGCCAGAGCAATTCATAGAAGCCATTTATAGGCATACTTCATTTTATGGTGCTTCATTTTATAATACTTTGCAGATATTGCATTTTTCTTTTACATATTAGAGATCTGTAACAACTCTTTATTGAGCTAGTCTATCAGTGTCATCTTTCCAACCGCGTATGCTCACATCATGTCTCTCACGTTTTGGTAATTCTTGCAATATTTCAAACTTTTTAATTATTATTGTATCTGTTGTGATGATCTGTGATCAATGATCTTTGATGCTACTATACTAATTGTTTTTGGGGTGACACAAACTGTGCCCTTGTAAGACAGCAAACTTAATCAATAAATGTTGTGCTTCTTCTGACTGTTCCACCCACTGACCATTCCTTGTCCCTCTCCCTCTCCTCATACCTACCTATTCCCTGAGACACAACAATATTGAAGAATATTACATAAATTTAGTTGATAAAGTAGTGACAGGGTTTGACAGGATTGCCTTCAATTTTGAAAGTTCTACTGTGGATAAAATGCTATCAAACTGCATCACATGCTACAAAGAAATCCTTTATGAAAAGAAGACTCAATGGATGCACCAAACTTCATTGTTGTCTTATTTTAAGAAATTACCACAGCCACCCCAGCCTTCAGCAACCACCACCCTGATCAATCAGCAGCCAACAACACTGAGGCAAGCCCCTTCATCAGCAAAAAGATTACAACTCACTGAAGGCTCAGTTGATGGCTAGCATTTTTGAACAACAAAATTTAGTTTTTAAATTAAGGTATGTACATTGTTTTTTAGGCATGATACTATTTCACACTTAATAGACTACAATATAGTGTAAATATAATTTTTATATGCACTGGGAAACCAAAAAATTCATGTGACCTGCTTTGTTGTGGTAGCCTGGAATTAAACCCACAATATCTGTGAGGTATTCATGTACAAAGGTGTGGAAAGATTGTAGTTTGTGTTGATGAGAGAAATACCTACTCAGTTAAATAAACAGAGAAGCTAAAGGCACTGATCTGACATATTTACATGATATGACTTACTGAGATGTGAGTATGGATTTGGCTACTCTTCAGTACCAATATATGGCTTTAGTGGTATGAATTTGGGTAAGTCATTTAAATCTCTCTACCATTGTCTTTAGAATCATACAATCATACTTTACATGTATAACCAATATCAAATTGTTTGCCTTCTCAAGGAAAGGGGAGTGGTAGGAGGGAGGGAAAGGATCTGTAACTCAAAAATTTTTAAGTGATTGTTAAATATTTTTACTTATAATTGGGAAATATTTAATAAAATAAATAAAATAAATTTTTAAAAAGAATCATACAGCCATAGATTTAAAGCTGGAAGGGCCCTCACAGTCCATCTAGTTTAAATCCCTCATGCAACAAATGAGAACTCTCAGAGAGGATAAGTAACTTGTTACCCAGTTAAGAAACATCAGAGGTAGAATTTGAACCCAGATTCTCTGTCTGTAGTCAGTGCTCTTTCTTTTTTTTTTAAAGTTCTGAGTTCCAAATTCTATCCCTCCTTCCTTCCCTCCCCTAACCCCTTCCAGAGATGATAAGCAATCAGCTATAGGTTATACGTGTGCAATTATGTAAAACAATTTCATATTAGTCATTTTGTACAAGAAAACTCAAATAAAAGAAAAAAATAAGAAAGAAAGTGGAAAAATAGCCTGCTTCAGTGCTTTTTCTATGATACCACATTTCCTTCTAAGGTCAGCTTAAGTGCCACCTCCTACATCAAGTCTTTGCAGATTCCCCTCAGCTGCTAGTGTTTCCCTCTATCCCACAAATAACCTTGTATTTATGTTGGATGAATTTATATTTGTACATGTTGTCTCTTAAGATAAAATGTTAAGTTTCTTGAGAACAGGAACTGTTTCAGTTTTGATCTTTATATCTGAGGCCTGTAGCAGGTGTTTAAAAAACATTTTGATTGATTGGATTGATTCATTTTAAACTCTCTGGGTCTGAATTGTATGGTCTGCAAAATGGGTCTGACAATACCTATGAGCTATGATCTTACTAGCATAAAGGCAGAGGGTTAAACAAATGATCTCTTAAGATTCCTTCTAGCTCTAAAATCTGTAATTTTATTCAATTATCATAATATATATAGGACATACTCTGCAATTTTATTATCTTGGTGTGATTCTGAGAAGAAAAGTTTTAACTCTGATTCCTCAAAGTATATTACTTCATAGTGCCTGAATGTTGGCCTTCCAATATAATTCACAAAGATCATGTGAGCCTAGCATTTTTTTTCTCTCTTTAATTTGGTTTTCCTTGAGAATAAGATTTGGAGCATTGCTCCATGTGTTTAGTTCTATCTGTGTCCACCTATAATGATACTGACATTGGGCCAAACTCCCCTTCCTTCTGTCATTTTGCCTTCATCTTTACCCCAGAAATTTATCAGTGTCTATATGCTGCTTTCTTGGTGCCTATAATCCCCAAGGACCATGTCTTATATTCTAAAGCTTCTTCCCCTGATCTAATACCGCTACTGCCTAACCAATCCTTCATCTGAATGCTACTTTGCTTCCTAAAAACCACATGGTCCCATTACAATTCAAGCATTTGTTTTAATTAGTCTTTAATAATTTTTAATATTAATGTTGACTTTTAGCTGAGGCAATAAAGTTATTGCTAAAAATGAATACTTCTAATTGGCTGTGACATTTATTTGGTTTCCCTCACTAAGCTGATGTTATCACTTTTCTAAGTAGCATCCTGTCTTGCATTTTAGTTTGACAGATAAAAATCTCTCATTTCATTCTCAAATAAAGATTTCTTGCAAAAAGGAAACCCATATTACCTCTTTGAGCATGGGCCTCTTACAATTGTTTTAGATCAACTCAAGATCCTAATGGATCCTAAATATTAAGGAAGCAAAATATATGTGTAAATATATGTCCCATTCACCTTTGGGTGACAACCATAGGGTGGTTGTGTGATACAGCTGATATCATTGGCCCTTTAACAAAATACCTTTTCAAAATTTTATTTTAGGGTTCCTGTGATGGAAATTGGGCTAGTGTAATTGATTTTACTAACCCAAAGCATGTTTGTGCTCTAATGAGGTCAGTCAAAAACACAGATTTATAGAGCTACATTCTTTGTTAAGAGGTAACACAGTAGAATTGCTAGTGGACTGTCTTTGGAGACAAGAAGAACCTACTTCAAATCTTGCCTCTGGCTCTTGTGAACATGAGCAAGTTACAGAACCATTCACCCAGGCAGCTCAGTAAGAGAATAAACTTGCAGAACACCTGCTAGGTAGAATTAGTGGAGTTCCCACCCCCACCCCCTTTGGGATCAGTGCATGAATTTTTTTTTTCAGAAATAGATCTTTGTACATCATTTCTGATGGGCAAATCATACCAAAACATTTCACTAAAAGTAGTAAGAAATAAAAGGGAAAGCTAGGAGGCACAGTGGATAGAGTGCCACCCCTGGAGTTCATGGGGACTTGAGCTCAAATCCAACCTCAGGCACTTAACTAGGTGTGTGACTGTGTTGCAAGTCACTTAATCCTGTTTGCCTCACTTCCCTCATCTGTAAAATGAGCTGGAGAAGGAAATGACAAACCACTCCAGTATCTTTGCCAAGAAAACTCCAAATGGAGTCACATAGAGTCGGGCACAATTGAAATGACTCAAAAACTACAACAGCAAAAGTAATAATTAGTATGAATATCAACAACAGCAACAATAATGTGTTAACCACTTAAGAATTGCCATTCTGAGTTGAATCTATAGCTTCTTAATATTTTATTAACTGCTTAGCAGATACAAACTGAAGACAAATCTAATCACTCATTAAACCAGGTTTTAAAAATAATACACCCCCAAATACTTATCTTAGCGTTTCTTACATACCTTTCTGAGGAGTAATCTTCAGCTATGGCTGTTTGATCAAAAAAGTCAATAACCTGACTTGAATCAAAGGTGCAATCCATAGGCATAGAAAGATCAGTTTCTCTTGCCAGATAAAAAGAGATAAAAAGCTTCCTTAGATGGTGTGATGTTAGCTGCCTGTTGTTACACAGAGACTTCTAATGGTTCTTACTCTTACTCTTCCCATATTGCAGGGTAAGGGAAGAATTTCTACATCTACTGTAGCAAATAAAACACAGGAGAGACAGAAGCTTTTTGCCCATCCTTTGAACTCAGTATTTCACCAAGAGAAGAACCATTTCTGGTCATACTGAGGAAGAAAGAAAGCCAAGCTGAGAGAAACTAAGGCCAGTTCAGAAATAGGAAGTAAACAGTTTCAATACAATAGTTAGAGTTACAGTGACAACCTTTAGAAAACAGGAAGGGGTAAAAACAGAAAAAATGAAGTAGCTTTTTGAGCCCTTTTCTACAATAATGATTATTCATCTAACAACCCATAAACAGAAGCAGCTGCTTGGAAATGTAGGTGTTTAGCATATTGCAAGGGAGACAATCTCGTTCAGTAAAATATCAATATGATGGTGAGAATTATCTAGCCCAGTGCCCAAAGGCCATCCTGCAAAATTTGGAGTATTTGGAATAAGGAAGAAGAAATGCCTTGAGTGTAATTATCCCTTATGGGTAGGGGACTACCGTCCAAGTTTTCACCAAGAACCTCAGACTTGGGAAGGAAAGAGTAAAGGGAAGAAGGCTAGAGTTACCCTCTAATGCTACTTTAAAAAAAATACATAATTACCATATAAGGCTGGAGGTGGGAGAGGAAAAATCTTTAAATTATAATACTTGCTAGAGGCTCATCTCCTGAACTGGGCAGTCCTCACTTTGTGCTTATACAAGAAAGTTCCCATGAAAGAACTGTTCTGTCAACTACTTTCCATTCATGAGAATCAGAGGTCCAAGGCTTGTAGCCCTGGTCTAAAACTTCCTTTCTCTGTATTTACCATGTGTGTGTTAAACTTCAAGCTAGTCCCTACCCTATAATGAACCTCCTGCTTTCCCTTGTGTTGACCTAGTCCTAGTGTTTACCCTCTATTGGGCATATCACTTATGCACTAAGCTAGCCCTAGCCCTGTGCTTGCCCTTCACAGCCCATCCTGTGCTTAAACAAGCAAGTTCCCGTTAAAGAATTATTTTTCCATGAAAGCAGCTACTTTCCACTGTGAAATCCAAGGTCCAAAGTTTATGCCCTTTTTCTAACACTTCAGTCCAAATTGAGGAAAAGTAGTGAAAAGACTAGCCACAAGTGATGCTTTTCAAAAGGGAGAGAGGAAAAGTTTGGGGAGTTGTTAAAAAATAAATATTACCCTCTCTCATTTTTATAAACACAATGCAGATCACAAGTCTTGCATAGCATGTAATATATAACTGATGAGCTAAGCATGTGGGCCTAGTCAGGGAAGCTCTGCTGAAAAAGAACAATGATTTGCAAAGAATCATCTTTTTGTGTAGGTTTGGGTCAGGGGAAAGACAAATCCCATAGATGCCAACATCTTACATCCAAAAAATGCAAGTTTTAAAGGCAAAAATTTTATTATCTTGGCAAATCGAGGTATCCATAAAATGAATTTGAAAATGAAGCTATCTCATGCAGTTAAAAAAAAAGCGAGTGAAACCAGAACACCACCTCCATCTGCGCCAGGGATGAATCACCCTTCTGGCTCACAGATTCCCTCTCCACAGATGGGTAATAATAACTCCCAGACAATGCCACATCTTGTTTCAGCACCATTAGGAACACATTCCTGATCAAGTCCAGCCCAGCCTGGACAAGTGGACATAAAATCCAGGAAGGCAGGTCAAGGGAATGGACAGTGGGAGGTTCTAGAGGTTTCACCCCAGAACAGCTTCAAGAAGAGAACAGTGAATCTGTGTGGGATGGTTTAGATACCCACCTCAAATTCAGGCTTACAAAACTAAAAGAAAGAGAAGGAGTAGCAAAGCCTCCTGAACCTCCTTTCCGGAACCCAGAGCCACACAGGTCCCAGCAGTGTGACCAATTAGTAGGCCCTCAGAGTCAAGGACTAGATGATAGATATATACAACAGACTCTGCACCCTACCTCCTACAGATGCTCAAGAAATGCTCTTTGATGGAGATGATGAGTCAAATAGTGATTAACAGAAAAACAGCCTTCCCTGTCTCCTTTTTAAAGAATGCTGTGCCTCTAGCCACATCCTGCTGATTACATTTTATTCTCCCACTTTTAGCCCAGAAGCATGACTCCCCCCCACCTCCCCATACCTTCCAAGGTAGAGGTCCCAGATAGAATCACTGGTGCTAGAGTCAACATGATCAGACTGCTCCCAAGAAGAGGTGCCAAGGCAAAAACTATGGCCCTTACTTTTAGACCCACCAATCAGGAGCATAGGTTACTTTTGGAATCATGGAACCATGGAATTGGAAGAAGCTTCTGAAGGCTCTCTGGCCTAGCCCTCTGGCTTCAGACCAGGTGGCTGTCTAAACCAGTGGTGACAAACTCAAACAGAAAAGGGGACCACTGAACTGTTCATAAGGATCCCTGCAGGTTGCAAATTGACCAATATTTCTTGAAATTACAGTGCTAAAACCTTGAGAACCCCCTCCAGTTGTTGATTCTAGTGTTTCACATCCAAAAGCTACCCTTTATGCCCTTGGGGGGAAAAAAATCTCCCTGGAACTCAGTTTCTTCATCTATAAAATGAGGTTATACTAGATCACCTGTGAGCTCAATTCCAGATCTCGATTATGATACAAGTATTCATGGGCAGGGACACGCTATGGCTCTAGCACTGTGATAGCACTGAGACATAAAGAACGTCTTAGAAGATCATTACCCTTTTGAGATAAGACTAACACAGAGATAAGGGATATATCACTAAGGCAAGATAAAATTCTTCAAGATGATCAACAGGAACCTCTTGCTGTAACTGAAATTAATTTCCTCTCAATAAACCAATCAAAAAGCATTTATTAAGACAAGGACTATGTAAGTGCTGAGGATGCAAAGACAAAAGCAAAAACAGTCCTTGCCTTCAAAAGAACTGACATTCCAATGACAGAAACATTTATGTGGTAGTTATAATATGTACATATATTCTGTAGATATGTGGAGATATGTATATGTGTATATATATATATATATATATATATATATATATATGCAAGATACATACAAAGGAAACACAAATGGAAGGCACTAACAGTTGGAGGAGGAAATAGGAAAGGTCTTCTTTAAAAGGTGGCCCTTTGAGCTCAGTTTTGAAGGAATTTGGGGATTCTTAGAGATTACTTCTCATGAACTTTCTCTCCTCCTGGGTCCCTTTACCCCTTGGTCAAAATAATAGGTCTCCTGTAAGCAAACATGAGACTGTACCTGTTAAATCGCATCACAATAAATAAACTATACAAACACATAATATCATTGTGATTACTTTTATATTATCTCTGTATATAAACTATGTAACCCTATAATTTTGTGGCCTAAGGACAATCGGGTAGCAAATTTCAGGTAGCTATTTGTTGATTGTACCTTACTGTGGTGTGGTAGGAATAGTACCAGATCTGCAACTGTCAAGTATGAGCCTGAATGCCAGCTCTGACACTAACTGTGTGGCACTGGATAGCCTCTCTGGACCTCACCAAAGTGAGTAGGGTGAACTAGACCAAAGAGTCATAGGTTTAAAGCAGAAGGAACAACAGAGGTCGTCACCTAGTACAACTCCCTCATTTTTAGACGTGAGGCAGCTGAGACCCCAAGAAGTTAAATGACTTTACTTTTCATGCAGTCACATGAATAGCAACAGAGATTCAAACCCAGATTCTCTATAGCTCCAAACACAGTACTTATGTCCACTAGACCAAGGGATCCTTACAGCTTTAAATTATATGATCTGAGGAGATGTATTATTTATTGTATGATACATACACGACCACATTGTATGGTCATGATAGCCAGAGAGAGTGGGAAAGATTGTGATTCACCGGTAATTCAAAAATTTCGATGTACACAATTTCTATTCTCTCTTTTGGCAGAAATGTTGGCATGGAATACAAGGGCAAACCTTAAACTTTAGAGCTAGAAGGGTCCTTAAATATCATCTATTGCCACCCCACCACTCTACACTCATTTTGCAGATGAGGAAACTGGATGAAAGCCAGAGATAGTCAATTAGCCCAGTCTTCTGTCTCCTAGACCAACAATTTTTCTTCTTCTCTATAGCTGAGCATGGTATCAGAGATTCTAATACTCTAATTAGGAATCAACTGACCAAAAAGTAGGTGACTGAATGCTGCTGGTTTCAAGTCCTAGCTGGTATGGGAGGTTCCCATCATATCCAGTTTCAATCAATTCTGACCTGCAGGACATGCTTCTACAAACTGTGAGAGGATGTCAGCCATCCCGTTATCATGCTCTTCCTCACCCTCTGATGGAGTTCACTTTCATGAAATTTTCAGTGCTTGGCTCAGGGCTTGGCACATCAGCAGCACTTAATATATGTTCGTTAACTGACAAAACGCAGATGGACTTGGTGAATACAGCAGTGAGACTCTGCTGATGATAGTGATCCCATCTAACTTGTTTCATCCTTACCTAAGACTTCAGGACTATGGTCTGCAATGGGACACAAAAAAACCTCACAGCTCTTTCTCCATTATAGCACAGCTCACTGGCAGTTGCCCTGATAAAGCATTTCACAGAATCCCCACTGAAAAAAAATGTAAGCATCAAAGAAAAGAGTAGAGTACTATTTTCCTCAGGACTATATCTTTATGTGGGGAGTTGAATGTAGCCACTGGGCATTTAGCCCCAGAATCATAGATTTAAAGCTTGAAGGGGCCTTTAGAGATCACTGAGTCCAGCCGCCTCATTTTTTAGATAAGAAACCCTAGGCCCAAGAGATTAAGTCAGCCAGTCAGTATGTGCCAGGCACTGCTACGTGCTGGGGATATAAAAAAGGCAAAAGACAGTCTCTGCCCTCAAGGAGCTCACAATCTAATAGTCGGAAAATTCTCAGAGTCGGGATAGGGAATGTCATGTTTCAAAAACAGCAAGTGATCACTGAATCAATGAGTTCATGGTGTGGGTGGTAGAGAGGCTGATAGAGGGAGGTGAAGGAGATGGGGTGGGGGGTTCCATATAGGTAGTAAGTAGTAAAGCTGGAAATCAAGTCCAGGTCCTCTGACTCCAAAGCGAGAACTCTTTCCACTGGGCTGCATATGATTTTTGTTCACAAGGATTAGTGTTCACAACATTAGTGTAGTACAAAAAACACTGAATTTGGAGTCAGAAAATCTGAGTTCTATTCCTCCCT